CGGTGACCGTAGAAGAGCCATCACCCTTCCCGTTACCCTTGCCCCCTTTGCCAGACTGGTCGCCCTTTGCCCCCTTGCCAGACTTGTCGCCCTTTGCCCCCTTGCCTTTGCCGTGGTGGCCCTTCTTGCCCGACTTGTCACCCGCGGCAGAGGTGCTGGACGCACCCTCACCAGAGGCGGTCGTGGAGGCGGCTGCGGTGGTGCTAACGCCCGACGCGGACGCTGAGGCGGAGGCGGCACCCTCGTCTGAGCCAGACGCAGAGCCGTTGCTGCCGCTTGAAGCAGAGCCAGAGCCAGACTCCGAGGAGCCAGAGCTTTCCCCGTTGCCATCATCCGAGCTGCCGGACGCGGAGCCCGAGCTCGAGCTTGAGGAGGAACCCTTATCGGCGCCGGAACCGGACGAGCTTGAACCGCTGTCTGCGCCGCTGGAGCCCGAGCTCGCGCCGGAACCAGAGCTTGAGCCCGAGCTCGAGGCGCCAGAGGCCCCGTCGGAGCCCGAAGCATCACCAGAGCCCGAAGCGTCGCCGGAACCCGACGCAGCAGAGCCCGACGCATCGTTGGAGCCCGAGGCGGTAGAGCCTGAGCTCGCGGCGCCCGAGTCGGAGCCGGTAATGCCTCCGTCAACACCAGCGGCTTTCATGCGAGCGGCGGCGTCAGCCTTGCTGTCGCAGGTGATGCTGGTGCCCTGTTTGTTGACGAGGGGGAGGGCGACGCAGGTAGTGCCGCCGGAGCACTGGGTGGTCTGGAACTTGCCCCCGGTGCACTGCGCGAAGGCACCCTGAACACAAGCCTGCTCGCCATCTAGCAATGATGTCAGGGACATGGTGCAGAGAAGCTGGGGATGAGTGGTGGCGTACCCTTGCAAGAGGAGTCCGCGGTGAGGGAGGCGAACTTGGCGTTGAGCTTCTGAGCGTCAAGCGCGTTGGCCTTCTGGAGGTCCGCGGGCGCGGCCTGGGTGAAGACGGCGAGGGAGAGGAGAACGAAAGCGGTGAACTTCGAGGAGAACATGATGTGTAGAGATGCTAGAGAAAGCGAATGCGAGATGTGCGATAAAGTTGACGATGCGGGTGGGTTGAACGAGCGAAGAGTTTGTAGGAAGTAGGACACGAATGAAAGCACGAACGACGCGGCGTAAAGGGGTGGTGGGTGGACAGGAAGAGCTCCGGGCTCAAGGATTCGACCAAAGGCGATGGGGAACTTTGGGCACAGCGGCGGCCGAGGTTATATACCGCGAAGCCAGATGGGCGTGTTCCTGCGATCTGAGGGTGCCCCCTGGACTATGGCTAGCCCACGGGAGGCCACCGGGCGTAACCGCGCTTGTTTGGTCGTCGAGCCCCCGTTGTCGGGCAGGAGCATCGCAGTTGGAGCTGGTGGGGCCGCTAGAAGGGCGAATCACAGGGTGCATTGTTCCCAGTGCGCGCGCGTGGACGGGGATGTCTGCTAAAAACAGCACGCGCGTGCAGCAACCGAGGCGTCTTGCCATGCGCACTGTCATCCATATCTGGGGCCCCTTCGTGAGCGATGGAGATGCTGCTGACACGCTGCGAGTTGGGGAAAGAACGTTGGACGCATCTTGGTCGTGGTAGATCCCGATCGTGGTCTTGCTGCGGAATCGGAGTGGCTGCTGCGGAACATCAAGACGCTTGATTGCATATGCAACTTGCGGCGTTCTCCTCCACACGTTAGAGCGGTTTGTTCGACCATCTATGGGCTCTTGCGTGTGTCGGGAGAGCCTTCTCGCTCCTTGAAGTTAAACGAATGCTACGGGAAACACAATCGGCCGCCTAACTTCGTCACCGCTGACATTTCCTTACCATCACATCCTCAAAAATTCGGACCGCAGAACTAGTTGAGCTATATTTCGAAGCGTTTAATTACCCGGATACCTAGGTCTATTGGTCATGGCGAGGCTGCGTATAGGCACCAGCAGTGATGAACCTGGGCACGTTATCCATCACGAATACGGGGGTCGTCGTAGGAGTCGGCGATCGCGGGGCGTTGGCACTGTCGAGCGCGACCGTAACAGGTCCACCTCCACTAGCTGATGGTCCCGTAGTGTTCGGGGCCCCTATTTGGAGGCGGCGAAGGTAATTGCCCGTCAGGCGCCTCGCGGCGACCTAGGCCGAGAGCGCGTCCACCGTGCCCACGGAGAGCCACGAGTCGTAATAGACGCATTCTTTGGGGCTGACGGGCCCGCCTGGTCTGCAGAAAGCGAAGGTCGGGCAGCGTTCACATGGGACCTGGTCGGTACCGAGAGAAGGAATGCGTTCCTCATGGATGGCCCGGTATACAACTCCGCCCACGTACGGTCCATTATCCGAGATGGAACGCCCGCGAGAAACGACCGCAAGGCTAAATCCAGCCTCCTCGTCCGTCGAATGGTCGGCGGCGGCAAAGCCATCTTCATCCTCGAATCTGCAGGCATCCTTCCTACGTCCAAGATCATCAACAGACTCAGCCTCCTTGCTGATAGACCTCTGCGAGGCGCGATTGGAACGACCCTTTGAACTGCGGGCCCGTTTCTATGAATTCCCATCGGGATCATAGCTGGATATCCTGGCGACACGCTTCCGCTTCGTTGATATGTGCCTGGGCGAAAACGCCTCGTCTGTACTCTCATCAGCATCACCCGTAATGGAGGTAGAGATGCAAAACTCAGGGAGCTGCGGTACAATACGTGGTAAGTACGACGAGGGCTGACATGATTGGAAACCCGCACCCTCTCAATTTTCCCGTCGAGCACCAACACGTTCAAGAGCATATCAACATGCTCAACGGTCAATACAGTTTCTGACACCTTGCTGTGCTGTAAGAATATCTAAAAATACCATCTGTATATGGCCGTCTATATTTAGTTAGCGGACAGACTCACCAGAATCTGCCTCGACGTTGCGTAAGATGCGTACGAGATGGAGTAGAAGCGCTTGCGGTCGTCCCGGCCCCCTTTAGGAAAACTCTATACGACCGTCAGTACGCAGTACACACCAAGACAAATCGCCGTACTTTCTCTCGAATAAACTTCAAGCATACATCCGATAATAGCTTGATGAACTCGATATCCAACTCCTTGTCTGTATACCACGGACCGCCGGTCAGAGCCAAGGCCGGTTGCACGTTCTCAAGCATGTAGATCCTGCGCGTCGGGTGCTAAGAACGCCGGGTACCCACGCCGCCGTCCGTCAGAAGCCTGTCATCGAGTACATTGAGTCGTCGCGACGCCCGCACCTGGACGTCGGGCACAGTCTTGATCAATCGCTTCTGAGTGAGAGACTTGTGGCATCGGTCGACTACGGTCTGGTGCAGCTGCGTCTTCGCTTTGATATGCTTCGTCCAGATGCCTAGGAGACCCGTATACAGTGAGCGCGAACCTTGAGCATGAACTGCAATTAACCCACCCTCGTCCCCTGCGGCGCGGATGCGATCCAGAACGAGGGTCTCGTCGGCGTTCAGGCCCTTCTTCCTAGACAAACATGAGCATCCACCCGGACTGGGACTACGTTGGCTTACGCCGTGAGCTCATCTTGAGTGACGCCACGATAAGACAGTTCAGATTTATCCCCTTTCAGCAGGACAAATAACCCCTGGGGACCGGTAAGTTGGCTATCCTGGGTTATTGGTTGATGGGTGCATACCGTGCCTAAGAGGAAATTGACTGCGGCAAGTCGTGCGCCTGCGTCCGAAGCGAGGATTTCTAGTTGATTGGGTGTGATGACCTGAAGTCGAGAGATGAGTGAGAGGAGTACCAACCTCCGTTCATCCGCCATACCTTGTCGGGCTTTGCCAGCGCAGCTCAATGCAGTGCACGCTCGAGGGCGTTCAACTTACGAGTGTCCCGGACGGTTCGAGTTCAAAGCACAACAGGCATGCATGTTCGAAGACGCTTGTTACGCAGCGTTGCAGCCGCACTTTCTCAGGGACGTAACAACCCGATCTAGATCTAAGGACTTGTCACAAAGTTGAGGCCTGTGTGTACCCTCGGAGAAGCGAATAGTTATAACTAGGGCAATCTGGTCGACACCTAAACAACACTAGCTCATCGGAAGAAAATTCTGACAGAGAGCGCAATGCGCAAAGGTCACTTTCATGATCGAATAGAGGCTTGGCGGCCACCACATAACTGGCCGACAGGAAATGAGGATGGACACACGCGCCAGCAGCACTTCTTAGAACGGTTGGGCGATCTTGAGCGGGGTTGAAGGGGAACGTAGCGGTGTTCGTCCACCGACAGAATAGGCAGTAGGAATGAATGCGATTTTGCGGTCCAGTTACATCACTGCCATCTATACTGTCTCCAACCTCGTGCCCACGACATATGCTTAGTGCGCATGGTTCTTGTGGTGCTCTGCCAGATACACAGAGGTGATCAGTATGATGCGCACACATGCCGGCAAAGGAATACTCACTGAGGTGCACTACACAGCACAGCAGCGCGGGAAACACGGCAGGGGTTACAGTCAGCCCATAGCCACTCGCGAAAAGCAGTGGACGCACTCTGGTAGTCAATAGTGTACCCAATGCCAAAGATGCCGAAGATGGTGAACAGCAGGGGCGCGGCGGACGCGTTCTTGCCGTTAAACCAGCGGCCCTTGATGCCACCCGACGCGGACGACGGCGCGGGGCCCTTGGGGAGCTTGGAGTAGAAGTTCACGAGGGGCCGAGGCCTGCACCCGAACCAGAGGACTGTCGACCGAACGCAGCACGACGTCAGTAAAAACAGCCCCGCTGGCGCACTTTTGGCGGATACACTCACGAGGAGAGAGGGGGTGGCGACCTTGGGGGGGACGAGGCCACCAAGCTGACGGCGGACGAGAGAGGGCTGCATGGTGAACGCGACCGGGCGTGGAGGACAGAGAACTGGACAGGACGGTGAGCCTTGGGGACGACTCGGACGACCTCCCCTGCGCCGACTCCGACAGCGCCGCCCACGCGCACGTGTCCCGCTTTCCTCCGATGGCATGGCTTGAAAAGGTTACATTAAACACGGAGACGAGGCTCGCAACTGCCCCGTGGCTGAGTTGGTTACAGCGTCCGACTGTTACTTTGGCACGGTCAATCGGAAGGTCGTGAGTTCGAGCCTCACCGGGGCAGCACTTTTTGGCTTCCTTCGCTCCCCAAGCATGTCATCTCGGCAAGCTGGTACCATCTGTGTAGGGCCGTTTTACTTCCAAATTATGATACCGTCTTTGTACTGAAACACTCATAGCCTCATAAGGAACCCCACCCGGCCACCATGCGGTTCATGTAGACGTTAACGGGCTTCTCACGTAAGAATCACACCCAGCACGTCGATATTCCAAAGCAAAATTCGTGCAACAGAGAACGTTGTGATACAGCGTGTAGCGACAGTAGTGAGTGGAATCTACTAATACAAATGACGACCCAGAGATGTTGAACGTCTGGGAGGGCCGGATTATGTTGAATACCCGACAGGCTATTTTACTTTCGCAAGCTCTATATCCAACACGATCGCCCCCAAAGACCCGCACCTTCCTCCGTGGATGCCCGTGCGCACAACGGCGCACATTATGATACACACACAGCGTCGAGCACTTACCGTGCCCGAAGCTTAATCATCGGCCTCGATGCCGGCGGGGCGCGTCAGCTGCGACACGTCGACGCCGGGAAGGGGCCACCTTCGCGCGAACGTGCGGACCTCCTTCTTGAGGTCGAGGACCTGCTGCGCGCCGATCTTGCCCTCCTCGGGCGTAGTCGCGACGCGGACAAAGTCCTTGAGGAGCTTGCTGCCGGCCTCCTTCTGGAGGACCGCCGCGATCTGCACCGCGCGGTGGAGGAAGTCCGCGACGACCTTCATGTCGTCCTCGCGCATGTCGCGCGACGTGAGCGCGGCCGTGCCGAGACGGATACCACCGGGCACCTGGGCGGACGCGTCGCCAGAGACGGCGTTCTTGTTGATGGTGATGCCGACGAGGTCGCAAAGCTTCTCGAGCTTCGAGCCCGTGAGGCCGAGGGGACGGAGATCCCAAAGGACAAGGTGATTATCCGTGCCCGAGGTCTGGAGCTTGTATCCACGAGCGACAAGCTCCTTGCCGAGGGTGGTAGCGTTAGCAATGACCTGCTTCGCGTACGCCTTCCACGTGGGCTGGCACGCCTGGAGGAGAGCAGTGGCAATACCGGCGATGGTCTGCAATAAACGGTGTCAGTGTGCAATACCAGGGAGGGTATATGATAGACGTACGTTGTTGTGAGGGCCACCCTGGCACGCAGGGAAGACGGCATCATTTACCCGCTTCTCAAGGTCCTTGGACTTGTCCGAGTCCCTCTTGAAGAAAATGAGACCAGCACGGGGGCCACGAAGGGTCTTATGCGTCGTGGTCGTCACGACGTCGCAGTACTGGAACGGGTCCGCGAGCTCGCCCGCCGCGACAAGGCCGCTCGTGTGGGCGATATCGGCCATAAGGTAAGCGCCGTGCTCGTCCGCGATCGCACGGAGCGCCTTGTAGTCCCAGTCGCGGGGGTATGCGGACGCGCCGCAGATGATCAGACGGGGCTTGTAGATCTTTGCGAGCTTGGCGACACCCTGGTAGTCGATTAGCTGCGTCTCCGGGTCGAGCCCGTAGGGCAGCGACTGGAAGTAGATCGACGACGCCGTCATCTTCTTCTTAGCGGTCTACAAAGTGCCACACATTAGGAGGCAACGGGGGCGGCATAGACATAACGCATACGTAGTAGCCGTGAGTCAAGTGGCCACCATCAGGGAGGCCGAGACCCATGAGACGGTCCTGGGGCTGGATGAGCGCAGTAAGGGCTGCAAAGCTACATGAACGCCGTCAATACCGGACCAGGATTGAGCACACATTGCTACTGACTTGGCCGTCTGTAACCGCATCAGTCAATAAACCAAGTCACGTCAAACGTCAAGCGGAACTTTACGTACGGAGCCAGAGTAGGGCTGCACGTTGACACCCCACTGCGCAGCGTCGAGGTGGAACGCCTGCAGGGCACGCTTCTGCGCGAGCACCTCGAGCTCGTCGACGTACTCGTTACCGCCGTAGTACCGAGCGTTGGGGAGCCCCTCGGAGTACTTGTTGGTGAGGATGGACCCGTTGGCCTCCATCGTCGCCCTGCTCGTCAAGTTCTATGCGCCACATGAGCACCCATCCTCAGGGGGGAGAAAACAGGCGGCGGGAAGACGCACCTCGGACGCGATGAGCTCGAGGCCGGAGAACTGCCGCCATGTCTCCTTGTCGATGATGTTCTGCACCTCGGGGTCGATCTCGGCGAGCGGTGCGTACAGCACCTTGTTCTGCAGACCCCGCGCGGCGTGAGCAGCACGAAAAAGCAGGGAGAAAGCGGACGCACGTAGTCCGGGGTGGCGGCCATCGTTCTGCGGAGCGCGGGGGCGAGGACGGGCGAGCGGAGAGGGCGAGAGAGGAGACGGAACATCGAAAAAAATCTGGGGCTGGTGCTATAAACCAAGTCACCGCTCGGCGCTCAGGGATAATATCCCACATGGGTATCACGTGAACGCGATCTTGACTCGATCCGCCGCCTCCCATCGCGGGAGGCCGTCTTTCCTTCCGCTTCTTCGTTTTCGGGCTCGAAGTTTGTGTGTTTATGTACACTCTGCGTAAATCACCGCCCGTTGTCTCCTTGCCAATGTTGATGCTGTTTTCATGAGAATTGCACGGAGGTGAACTCTATCACGCTGGAATGACGTCGCGCGCCAGCGAAGACGCTCTCAAAGTGGCTGCCCGAATAGAAGGCGGCTTGCCAGAAGCACGCGCGCACGGGAGATGTATGATGCATACGATGTTTTTCGGTTTTGAATAGTGTACCGGAATACGTAGACGGGGGTATGATAGCGCACAGATTGGACAACAACGATGCTAGTGTACACTGTGCGTAAAACACCGCCCTTTATCGACAGAAAGCAAATTTCAAGGACCGGGGCGTGTGGATGCAGTTTGGCGCACGATATTGGAGGGGCGCTACATTGCTGGACAACTGAGTCCTGGACAGCGGGGGTTTTAGTGGGTATTAGGAGAGCATGATCATGTCAACGCCCCTCGAGTCCCACACGGTGTGCGTAAAAGCATTGTCTCGCGGTATGGGTTGTTCTTGTCAAAGGCGCGCGAACCGGAGGGTTTTTTGGTCCTCTGGGGCGGGGGCTGCACCCGGCGTGCCCATGGAAATTGCACGACAAACCCAATTGGGACCACTGCAAACCATAGGTATACGCTCCACCGAAAAAAAACACCGCCCGTTGTCTCCTCACTCATGTTGAGATGCTGATTTACATGAAAATCGCAAGTAGACGAACTCTATCACACCGGAATGACGTTGCGCGTCAGCAAACTTAAAGAGAAGGCATCTTGTGGAAAGCGCACACGGCATGCGCGATACAGTGTCTTCAGATTTTGACTAATGTTCCGGAATACGGACACGGCGGGTACATGTTTTACGGTAGCGTACATGGTGAACAACAACGATGCTAGTGTACTGATACATAGATGAGAGCGACAGCAGTGAAATCCGATAGATGCAGCAACCAGAAACCCAGAAGAAAATGTTAATGCAGCAGAGCTAGACGCGTGCGAAAGCGTTCAGAAGTACGACCGCGAATCGGACGGGGGGCCATTGCAGAGTTCCGCGCCGAGCTTTTGCACGAGCTCCATCCCGAGCGGCTCGAGCGCCTCCTTCCAGACCTGCGCCCGTCGCCGCGCCTGGAAGATGCGCTGGCTGCGCTCCCCGACCTCACCCTCCGGTCCAAAGACGTAGACCTTGTCTTCGTGCCAGGGCGCCTCCCCGTGCGCGAACGAGATCCACTGCTCCTGTATCGCGTTCCGCACGCGCGCGTACGTCCAGTCGTCGACGACCGGCATCGCCCAGTCCGCGTCGTAGTCGTACCCAGGACCGTCGTCGTCGGCATCGGAGTCGTCGCACGGCGTGGGTGCTGTGGATATTGGGAAGTCGGAGTCGGAGTCGGGGGTAAAGAAGTAACCGTCTTCTCGCGGTTCGGTGCAGTCGTACGGCGACGTTGTGGGCAGGGAAGGGAGAGGCACGTTGTCAAAGATGTACATAAGATCCACGGCGTGGTGTGGTACGCCACGTGAGGGGCTCTCCTGGTCAAAGACGTACCGCCAGACGCCGTGCCCGCCACGCTCGCCGCGGAGACTCGTAGCGATGAGATCCGTAGGCCACGCGAACCGAGTGTCGTTGATCAGATCCATGAGCCGGTCCGGGAGCTCGTCCGCAGGAGTACACGAGTTGATGTCGTACGCACGGAGGAGCGCGTTCGACTTGCTCAGAGACTGACAGATCGCCCGTATCCGCTTCACAGCGCCAGCAGCCGTCCAGAGCGAGGCAGGCAGAGACCAGAGCCAGGATTCCGCACCGCAGTCCCCGATGATCACAGGCTGGTGGCTTGCGTGCCGCGTACGAGAATGCGACCGCGACTTTTCGTGCAGATGGTGATGCGGCACCTTCAAGTGATGTGAGTGTGCGCTGATCTCGACGACCATGCTGTCGCCCAAGTGCGCCTCGACGTGGTGGTGCTGCACGGTCTCGTCAGCGTTGACTAGCGAGCCCGCAAACGATCTGCGGAAGAAGACGCCGTCGTCTGTCGCGCGCATGCTCGCACCCAGCGCGACTAGCCGCTCCGGATCGACCGCACGCAGATCGTCGATCGTTTGTACGCGCAGCGCCGACATGAGCTTCGACATCTGCCAGCCGGTCTGATGTAGCTTCGGCACCTCCAGATCGACGATGGCGCTCTGGACGATTGCTCGCTGGAACAACGGAGCAACTTCGTTCGTGGCCGAGTTCATGTGGCAGAGGATATCGCCTGCGCCCGTAGATTCCCCAAAGAGGGTGACGTTGTTCGGGTTGCCGCCGAACGCCTGGATGTACCGGTACACCCATTCCATCGCCCGTCTTTGGTCCCGCAGGCCTAGAGCAGCCCGTGCGTCAGTGCCCGATTTGTGTGGGAACGATGAGAATCGAGCTTACCGTAGTTGCCGACGCCCTCGTCGCCCGCTGCCTTGTTGTCGTCGCGCAAGGCCTGGCTCGCGGCGAATCCGAGCAGGCCAATGCGGAAGCTAGACGCTACGATCAGCCCCCGCGCGGAG